TGGTTTAACAAAACTCATTCTGAAAAGATGTCTGACCTTGAATGAGGCGTCACTAGAAATCTCTAACTGTACAGTCATACAGTCACTAAATTCTCTGTGATTAAGAAAGATTATCAATTGCTCAGGAGCAGAGCAGAGTTTCTTATTCAAAGATAAAAACAATATTTTAATGGAAGCAAGCCACATCATCTGTTAGCCCTAAGATTACACAGCAATTAAATGCTTACTAATATTTTGTCTGTAAAATCCTCATCTGGTGAAAATGACTGACCAATCTTATATTAATAAAACATTAAACATTGGTGTTTGTGTTCAGAACTCTACACCTCTGAGTTTAACGACAAAACTGACACCTCTATCTTTTTTTCCACGCTTACCACCGTTAAAATGAAGTGGAAACATAAACTGGGCCATTAACCCTTACTGAGCTGGAAAACACACTCCAATGTATGAACAAAGGCAAACTGCCAGGTTTGGATGGAATCCCTACTGAGTTTTATCTAACTCTTCAGGTTTGACAAGTTAACACAGCTGTTATTTCCAGTCTCCTCCAGTCAGACTGAGTCTCTCTACACAGTCTTTTCTTTGGATGCAGTCAAAGCGTTTAATCAGTTAGAGTGAAGATGTCTTCTGTTATAATTAGAGCTCATGTGTCTCAGCTCGAATTTTATCAATATAATATAGTCCTATATTCTAATCCAACAGCATTACAGGTCAAATATGCTTATGACGCATCAAGGCTGTTCCTTTCCCCCTTACTGTTTACAGTGTCTCTTGAACCCCTACCTCTGGCTGTCCATCATGATTTCACCCAGCTATGAGACTGTCAGCCATCTTTTAAAAACTAAATTAGTTTTCTAACTAGATAAGTTTACCTCGGGTTAAAGTCAACTTGTGGAAGAAAAACTAACTTTATTGTCTCAATAAATAGCAAAACCTGCAAAGCTCCACGACAAGCATTTTTAAAGTCTTAAAGAGCAAATACAGAGAACTAGGACAAGCTTATTTACCTTATTTGAACAAACCTCACGCACAAAAACATCAAAAGGCAGATTTTCAGATGAGAGGGCAAGTTATGGCGTGGCAGGTGTATAACATGCAGTCTGTAGTGTGATTGGTCAGTGATTTAACACATGATATGTTGGAAACTTGTCATTTTTTCTTTCTTATTTTAACACATAGTCAACATATTATGATACTAAATGTGTGGTTAATTAACACAAGCTTTTTTAGAGTGTAAAGTGTAGTCGTATTCCATGTTAGCTCCTGTATTCATAAACGATACCACAAAAAAACACCATATCGAAGGTTTAGCTTTTTAAGTTATTTTGCTATTGGACAGATGTGGGGCTATTGTAACATTAGCTTTATGTTTAGACAGATAAGCTGACAAGCTACAAATGAAGCTGCGTTTTGAGCTTGCCACACACTTTGCAGTTGAGTTTCATATGTGAGTTGCGTATGTGAGCTAGCTGGTTAAGGAGTTTCTGAGTTGGTTCGGTCATGCATTCTGCTGGGCTGCTACATTTCATATCCACCACCAGATGGCGACATTTCTTAGATCCACTTACTGCTTTGTTTATTTGTTGTAGCAATTAATCATAAAATTCTTCTAAATCAGATGATGCGCTAGGATATACATATTCTTGTAGATGCTAGCTTGCTTGTATCGCACTTTACTGCTGGTTTTCTCAGGCTACTGCCCCCTGCCCTCAAGCTCATTATTAGCTTTTGTGTGATCCACGCTTTATGTTGCTGACACAAACAGGCCTAATGTGGATTTCACTATAGACTACCTTTTGTAATGATAAACGCTGTACGCCTTTTTGCTATGCTTGTGGTGGAATCCTGATGGCTCTTATCCACTTAGTACATAAAACAATCTATTGTGCTGACTGGATAAGTATCAGTTAGCATAGACAAGTACAGATGAGCAGGATGTTAGATGTTGGACAGTTGTTTGCTCTTCTTAAAGGTATAGAGGGTCTCTGCTGTCAACACAGAGGCTTTTACAAGGGTGGTGGAAGAATTTTTTTGGCCTAGGCCCATCCAGCAGCCACCATGAGGTCCACATGTGAGGTCCACATGCTCTACCTGGAGCATTTCTACATTCTGAGCAGTGCAGACCGGTATTTTTTTGGTGAAAAGTGCAACATGCTCATTTCACTTGGCCAGCATTTTGGAAATTATCTGACTGAAAAAAGCCAGTGGTGGGAAAGGTTAATGTGTTAGTATGCTATGTAAAGATTAGTTTGCATAGCTAGGTTGCTAACGTAATTTGTGAATGGTTAAAGACATAAAAAAAGAAATAATCACATTCTCTCCTTTGGTAAGATGTGCAGTCTAGTGTGCTATAATATAACATCACTCACTTTTCAGCTGTGTTCTAGGTAGCTGGCTAAACCCTGCTGTAAAGTATACGATAACATCGGTCTTATATGTTTAGTGTATGTCACAGTGCATCAGATGCTGCAGTGTGTTGAAGGACATCAAGCACTAGAGAACTATTTGCAAAGTACAAAATCCCCAAAGTTATTTAGTTTGGGGCTGTAAGGTGGTACATAAAGCCAGCAATGATTTAAGATTTTGCAGTTTGCTTACTAAATTTTGATAAGAAGCTGTTAAATCGTCCCAAATGCCTTAGCCATTTTTTTTTTTAGAATTCACTGATTTAATTAAAAATCACATATTAAAAAGTATTTTGCCTATTTTGAAATGAGTAACTCCAACCAAGGGTTCAATTTCACGATGCGATAGACGGAGAGATAACCATCACATTTTCTTAGAAGACAAAACTATTTTAAAAATATAAAGTGCAATATCTATATAAATTAAACTAAAGGTAAACTATAAGCTACATCTGATATTAAATGAACTGTGTATGACTTTGTAAATCCATGTACAGTCTGATACTGTATTTATATATGAAGTATGGCTCTTCTGGCTGAAATGAGTGCGAGGGGATTTTCTTACGTGGCTCAGTCACTCCCAGCAAACAACAGAATGCACAACCAAATATAAGTGAACTCTACAACCGAATAGAGCTGCAAATCGGTAGATATTAACATCAATACAGAGTGAGCTACTTGTTTCATCCTTTCAGAACAGGCACTCAGGGCCTGTTTAAACCCTGTGGGGAGAAGAAGCTGCTGTTGAAGCTTTTGACCCCCAAATAAAAAATAAAAAAAATTGGAATTATTGTGACGTAAGTTAATTATATACATTTTACAACATAAACATTAAAATACAAATATTTTACTTGCTGCTTCTGATTATTTTCACAGTTAAAATGAAAATGTGTTTCACTTATTGAGGTACTTTTAAAAGCTTTTAATACAGTTTTTACATCAGTGCTAAAAAATTAATTTGTGGTACAACACCTTTGTAGCACCAGCACTACCTGCTCAAAACATTTATGTACAGCCCTGCATTAAGGGCTTTAAAAGTCATAAGCAAGACCTTGTAGTCAATGCAAAACTTATAAGGAAGCCAATGTAAACAGAATAAAAGCAGATGATTATGATCAAACTTTCTTTTCTTGGTAAGCACATGGGCTGCCCTGTTCTGAACTACTTACAGCCTATTTACAGAGACAGCAGGCAACCAGTCTGTAACACATTACTGTAGTCTAATCTAGTAATTGTGAAAGCACGAACTAGTTTCTCAGTATCTTGCAGAATTAGCATGTATCTTATTTTGGACATGTTTCTCAAGTCATAAAAAACAATCTTAGAGATGCCACTCCATTCAGCAGATTTAGTAGATGAACAGCATTCAGTGTTACATCAAGGTAGCTTTTGGTTACACTGAAAAACCATAAAGGTCAAGGATAAAATCTGCAACCTATTTTGAGCACACTGAACCCCCTCAACAATACTCTTGTTTTATCAGTGTTTAGCAGGAGGAAGTTCTTGGTTATTCAGGTTTTTGTGCTGTAACACAAGTCTTCTATTATGTGCAGCTGTGTCACTCAATCCTGCTGAGCTGACATGTACAGTGCTGTTCAAAGGTCAGAGACCATGATTTTGTTTTTGTTTAATTTTCACTCAAAATGGCCATAAATTACAAGTCATTTTTCAATGTCAGAAAAAGCAGAAAACATATTTAACAGAAAATTACAGTAAAGCTTACAACATTCAGTATATTAATAATTCTATCAGTATTTAATTTGTAAATTTTTTACTTTTGTGTTCTCTACTTCACTTACAATCGTTACAACTGTCCTCCCAACAAAAGCTGTTCCCAAAAGAGTTGCTGACATAAAGTGCCCTTCAAAGAGATGCTAACATTCACACAAGCAACTACCCAAACACACCTTAGCAGCCTTACAGTTTTCCTTCTCATGTGATTCTAAAATAGCTAAAGGAGATTGTTCTGAGTAGACTAGATATAAGATAATCTATTTTCATAAGAAAGGGAAAAATGAATCAAGTCTAAGGAAAATAATTGTAAAACAGAAATTTCCAAAAAGAGAAAATAGGACTTCTTTTAACCATTCAAGAGCTGGTAAACCACCAAAGCTGTCCCCATCAGATAAACAGCACTTAAAGTTTTCTTCTTTGAGAGAGAGGAGAAAATCAAACTCCACTCTTACTACAGATCTGAAAAACATGTATATATATATATATGAGCCCTAAAAACAGCCTTGTTGGACACCATATTGCACTTTCTGTGTCTGGAAAACTCCCCATTTACACCGACAAATTGATAGACGTCTATCAAGTAAGGCCTACACCTTCCTATTAAAATGTCATGGGGCAGTTCTATCAAACGCTGCACTCAAGTACAGCAGTACTAGAAAACAGATGTTTCCGCAACCACTCTTTGACCACCTTTTCTGAAAGCCAGTCTGACATAATTCATGCTTTTTATTCTTATTTAAAAAAAAATGACAGCTAGTATATGAAATCAGTTTTTGAAAGTTGTAGAAATTTCTCAAAACTACAGTTTATTTGAAGAGCAAAGTACAAAAAATCCAGGCACAGTGACAATAAAAAACTTTATTCAAAAATAAATAATGTACAGCAGCAGATACAACTTTTGTCTATTTCTCAGCACATGGGATTAGATTTACTTACTTGTTTGACATTACACACATACTGTAATAGCAGTTTTAAAACATAATGCTACCCAGTTTTACCCAACACCACTCCTCACCCTTGACTGTAAAAGAGACATAATATATAATAATACAATGCAAATGACCACTTCAGTCCTTAATGTATAATGTTTTGTGGGAATTATTTAACGGCTTCTGGCCATCTGTGTTAAAAAAGAATGAATACACAAAATAATTGAATTTGACTTAATGTCTAAGCATCCAATCTGATCTTTCTTTAAGTTTCTCGATTCATTGTGGAACATATTTAAACTTCCAAACGAGCAAAGACAAACATTTTTAGCCTTTTAGTGAAACATTGTATTTACCGTGTAAGGCTAAATGTATTTTCAGTACTTCTGATGCAACTGTGCAGATGCATTCACAAAAACATCCTTCATCATCATCAAAGACAAGAGGAGACCATGTCAGTCATAACTGTTCCGCTGTGATCTGTAAAAAACAAACTCCACCTTAGCTGTTTTCATGAGAGCTCAGACGAGGCCGAATGCAGAAAAGACTAAAGTGACTTGACCGTTCTAGCAGCCCACAGATGTGCTGCTGTTTGATTACTCATCAAATTTCTCCTAAACTAAGCACACTTTCTCCAAACTCTCGCATGACTTACTCTCTCAGTTTGACTCTCACAAGTGAGAGAGAAAGCAAATGAAAAGAACCTTGAAACATTAAAGGAGACATAACAGCAGACACAAGCCATGAACTGTGAAGCACAGAATTCTGTTAAGACTACATTCACAGAATGAGTAATAATAATAATAACTACTTTTCAAAAGTGAATTCAATCATTCGCAGTATTAGGTAGAATTAGTAGTATTATTTTAAAAACAGATGATGATAATACGCTGCACTTAAGCTCATTTAAAATATCAAGATATTTCAGCTAATAAACACATTTGAATTGAATAAAAAGATCTCTTACCTCAGTGCCATTGGTTGGCGACTAGAGAAGGGTAGGCTGCAAAAATTCAACAAAGCAATGAAGTCAATTCTAAGACATGTTTTGTACAAGATGTTGCCTAATTAGCCTCTTCAGCTATGCTATTCACTCACGCTGATCGGAGCTGTAATGGACTAATGATTCTGTGATTTGGTGTTGTTCGTACTGTGCACTTACCTTTATATGAGATCCTTTGGAACGCAGGGAAAACACTTGTTTGTTGAAACTCAGGGACAGACAGTGACCAATGACCTTATCTTTTCCATCAAATCTCTTCAGTCGAGAGTGCATCAAAAGGCGCGCATGTCAGGGGTGTACGGATGCGAGAGTATGTGTGTGCGCAGCTGTATCTGTATGTGAATCTGACTTTCTGCGCCCCTGGAAGGAAACTACAAAGCGCTCTCAGTTCCTCTTCTCATTCTGAATCAGCAGCAGGTCTCTGTATGTGTAGATGGGACATAATTACAGCTGAGTGTGTCTTCCCCCACAAATTGTTTTGATTCAAGACAACAACAGGAAGTTTTGTTGTTGTTGTTTTTGTTGTTCTTTTGCGTGTAAGATAAAAATAGCGTATTCGTAAACCTCATCTGAAAGGGGCAGTGCACTAAGAAAATGCTAACCTCAGTTCTGAAAAAGCTGGAACAAAATGTGAAACACAAATAAAAACAGAAAGCAGTGATTTGTAAATCCACTTTGACCTACATTTAAATGACAACATTACAAAGACAAAATAACATCACTGTGCAAAGGAAAACAAGTATTTTTAAAATAGCAACTTAACAGGAGAGGGCAAACATGTTCTTTACTTTCAATGTAAGTAAATGTAAAGAGGAGATTCCCAGCGTTAGTCCAGTCATCATGAACTTTTCACATAATGTAAAGGACAGCTGCCATGCTCAAATGATGTAGAAAAATAAAAATAAAAAAATGGAGCGATGCTGTTTTTTTTGGACAGCAACAATATGTAATATTTTACCTTGTTAGCTTTATCGTTTTTGTAAATATACGCTTCTTGTGAAAGTAATGCCTGGAACACATTCCAAAAAGTTTGTACAAGGGCAATTTAAGACTGGGTACATTGTGAAATGTTCAAAAAAAAAAAAACATTTTAAACAGGTGATTAAATCATGCTTGGGTATGAAAGGTGCATCCAGTTAAGGCCTAGTCCTAGTCCACCTTGCCACAAAATGCATTTGTTTGAATAAAATAAAAACACAAACCCTCCAGCAGTTTAAGGACAAAGCTCCTCTTTATCAATCTGTGAAGTCACAATTGACTCTGAAGTATATGTACACATTTTGGAGCAACATTTGCTGCCTACCAGACAGTGTCTTTTTTAGACAGCGAAGACTTATTTCAACATGACAATTCCAAGCCACATTCTGCACACGAAAGAACAGCATGGCTGTGTAATCATACAATGTCTGCGGTCCAGACCTGTAACCCATTGGAAATGAGTTTAATAAAACCAATAAAGTTCATAAGGTAAAACATTAAATGTAGTGTTTTGTACTGTTTTCAATTTAATACAGGTCAAACACAACTTGTTAATTACTACTTTCTGTTTTTATTAGCATTTCACACACATTTTTTAAATCAAGCTGTTATGCTGACATCAATGCTAACACTACTTTTTGTAATGAAATTATTTAGTTTGAGGCATTGTAACGACTATCACTGCAACATTCCTTTACTTTTAATACTTTTAATAGTCTGTAAAATATTTGTATGACACTAATTTCTACATCTGTGTGCCTCACCAGTCGCAGCATTGGTGGGCCTGTTTCTAGGTTTCGTGACAAAGCTGACGAAACCAGTGGCATACAACACAGCGAAGGAAATGAGGTCACACTTACGCCTGAGAAAGAACCCTTTCGTGCACCAATGACAGGACATGGTCCTGATCGAGGCGGAAATGGGTGGGTGGGGGATGGTTGCCTGCCGCATGCCTTAATGTGTCATCATTGTGGGGAAAAGCCCAGGTGACCCCCAGGCTGGCGGAGAGGGACAGTAAGCATGCAACTTCACTGGGGATTCCTCTTGGCTCATGGACACATTAACACGTGAAACCGTGGAAATATAAGACTAGAAAAAATCTTACGTCATTTGCTCTGAAAAAATGAACCGCATGTAAAATAATAAACTGTGAAAAAAACAACGGAGAATCTTAATCTTTTATCTTTAAATAGTAGTTGTTGCATCATCTTGCAAAACTGTAATACTTCATTGTAGATAATGGATATTCTATTAATTATGCCATGTAATGCAGTTGCATTGTTTGAATATTAAACAGTCAGCACCAATCAATGACTCACTCTAGCATTCCTCCTGTCTCCCAAGTGTTGTAAGTAACACAATTATAGTCATCATTTTTCATCATTTGAATCATGTTCAAAATATCATAAAAATGAGCCAAGTATTGAGAATCAAATCTAATTGAATTTGGCTGTGTATTGTTACACCTCTATTAAAAAGGACCAAAATAATGATTATAGACCACCTCCTCTGTGCTGGGGTAGTCCAAAATTTTTCAAATTCTGAGTGGACTTCAGTGATCATATTTGCGTCAGACCTCATTTAGAACTACAATAAGTCTAGTCACTTTTTCTTTTATAGACCCTCTCAATAATAGACCCTATCCCCTTCTATAATAGAAATGGGAATGGAGTCTGAAAGTTGATATAGTTCACCCACTTACTAGATCCAGGTGAATAATCAAGCCTGGTGAAAGATTGGAGAAAGATATAAATAACACTGACTCTGGTTTGATACATTATAAAACAGAACCCCTAAATCAACCCTATGAAAATTGAATATATTTATAATATACTGACTTTTGTAGGTATTTGTTAATCAATCTTGGAAAATATGTCTGTGGTTTTTAATGGAAGGAAAAAACTTTTACATAAAGTCTCTGAGCAGAAGCAGCTAAAGAACCATCTATGTGTGGATTGTCTGCACAACATGAACCACATGATTTGAATATCAAAGTTAGACCTTGAAGCGTAAAAGTCTAAGTTGTGGGCTGAATGAAACCATCTTGCCAAAGCACAGTTTAACAGAGTTTCCGCTTTGTTTGCTTTAATGCTTTTTTTCTCACATTTATATATAAAAAATGCATACTTACATAAAATACATATGTAGTGTCTTCTTTAAAAAATAGATCACCCAAACAACTGTGCTTCCCCAATAGCTGCTGTCTCTGTGGTGCATTGTTTATTTGATTTACTTATGAATATTGTGTGGGTTGTTTTTTTTCATGATTGGTTTTGTAGTGGTCGATAAGTGTGGTATAAACACGGCTTTTGGCCAGCAAAAATCATGAGTCACACTTAGGTTGCAAGTGTATCCTGATGACTGTTTACATTATATTGTGTAGAAATTTGATTGCATTTACATTGTCTTTATTTGATCTAAAAATAAATCTAACCTTTGTCAAGTCCAAGACAAGTCCAAGACCATGATTAGTTGAGGTCAAGTCCAGACAGAGTCTAAAGGGAGCCAAGTCAAAGTCTGTCTTTAGACTTTAGGCCCCTTTAGACTCGACTTGATCCTGAGTCAAGTCTGAATCCAAATGAAAGTGAGACCAGGTCAAGACTAAACCCCAAAAAATTAAGTCCTCAAGACCATGGCTTAATAAGACTTTATATCATTCCGGTACAAATTACTGGAAAAATATAAAGGAAAGTTTTTTTTTTAAGCAAAAAAAATAAATAAATAAATTATGCAAGCAGAATTTCATGGGTTAAAGTTTCTTGGCATTCAAGTCCAGAAGCTGTGTTAAAACGTCTTGAAAGAGGTAACTGCCCAGTGTGTTTTTTAGGCTTTTTAGGAACTGTCAAAAAATGGGTAAACTGTTGCTACTGATGTAGAAGGCTGGCGCATGTGACAGTATTGGCTCATGTACTACTGGCTGAGCGCCCCCTGGGGAGTAGATCTAGATAGCAACCCAGCTAGAGAGTAGAGACAAAGGGGAGAAAGCATCTGTGAGTAGAGAATCGGGGCAAGAAAGCTACTCAAGAATTCTAGCAGGCCAGTATTAAGGACCTCGCAAGGGCTTTGGCTACAGTTCACCTCAGGACAGTGATGTGCTTCTTTGGAGTGTTGGTAGCAAGAAGAGAGTGCGACATGCTCAGCACCAGTGCAGAGTGCCGACCCCACCATGTCTGACAGGCAGCAAAACCCCTGAGCAACCCCGGAGAATGCTGCTTTACAGGCGGAGCACAGAAGAAAATCTCCCACAGTGGTTGCACTTCTGCCAAACAACCCGAAAGACAAGAGCCTGCTTGTTCTGACTAATCATCACATGCAGCTTGAGATCAACAGCATTGCCATACTGACTGTGGTGAAAAAGTACCTTGAGGCTGGAAAGCAGCGACCCTTGTTTCTTGTAGTCAGTTTTCTGAAATACTTTTTATCAAAACATAGGAAACACTGGTAAATATATCATGACTGATTTGGAGGAATATACAGCATACATGACTGACTGCATTAGCAAGTGCATGGGCGATGACTATACTTGAAGGTGACTTTCTTCAAGACCTTCATCACATGTGCTAGCCAGAAGCAATTAATGATTGCGGAGGTGGGCATGCTTTTGAAAACCTTAAAGGCTGCCTTTAGGTCAGATGACCAGACAGCCATCAGCGCAGCAAAAGCCAGCCTGTCCCAGGCTGTCAAAGAGGCAAATATGCACAGAAAAGCATGTTATAGGGAATTCAGGCCATCACTGACTACAAAGTGAAATCCAATGTCTACATTCCCAAACAAATATGATGGCGATGCCTTGCTCCGACATGCACTAAATGATTTCTACACACAGTTTGAAGCACATAACCAGCTGGTGAGGAAGACCACCACTTATCTCACTGACCATCTCCAATATTTCTCTGAGAGCAAGGAAAGCCAAGCAGTCTCGGAATGCTGTAAGATGACTACCATCATCCTTGTGCTAAATATGGCTACTGACCTATAGCACACACTTCGATCATCATGGCCGCTACCTTTGTGGATGGCCCCTCCCACCCCTGGTGCTGCATGCAACGGGACTGTGGGGATGCTGGGGATGCCTAACCCCTCAGATAGGGGTCAGGACCCAGAAACTTAAAAAACATTGTTTTCTCTAAGCAGAACCAATATTTTAAAGTAAAATCTAGTACTATGGAAGTATATTTGTATCAAAACTAAAATGAAAATGTAATATGTAAAATTTCCCACTCATATATACAATGTTGAGCTCAAAACGAAACTTTAAATTCAATACTGCAATTTTAATTTGTTGTTTAGTATTGGTATTTCATTCACACAAAGATT